TATAAACAAATCAATATAAATCAAGTCAAAAAAATTAAAAAATTTAAATAAGTCCAACAATATATGAAAGCTCAACATAAGCTTAAGCCAAACATGAACAACTTATAATCATATCAAGCCAAGTCCAAACTATGATATACTCGGCACGACTCGGCTCGGTTGTAGCCCTAATTCCACAAAAAAGTGGTGTTTGGCTGTGATTTGAATTTATTTTAAACAGGATTTATTAAACTCGGTGAAATGTGATTTATCAAACTATCCGTAGATTTCACTAGAGCCAATGAGAAGTCGCTCATTTTTTAACTTGATTTATAAACGAGTCGAACGAATATAAGTTTGTTCGTTCGTGTTTGGCTCATTTTAACTCTAAATAATTAAATAGTTATTATTAATTATATCAATTTTTATCTCTATTAAAAAATCTAAATTTAACTGTTTTTAAAAAAATATTTTGGTGATATGACATATAAATATGTAAATACAATGGATTTGGCCCGTATATATATGTAAATGCTCCTAAAGTGGCCGCCTGAAAAGGATAATTTTAGGTGGGATATGTAACGACAAATGATTTGACTGGTAGTTATGTAAATGCCCCTAAAATCTGTGTTCTGCGGCCTAAAAGGTATAAATTTATGGGTCATATATGTAAGTATCCTGTGTATGCTTTAAAATATCCACACATCAAGATTTTTGAAGGGAGAAGTGCTCTTCAAAATCTGTAATTTAGCGTGCTATTCTGAAAAACTTCAGATCCGTGTAAACGATAAGGTATTATTTGCATTATAATTACTATAATATGCTTAATAAAGTTAATTAATTAAGTTTAATAAGAATAATTTAATTAATCAAGTTTACATTTCCTTGATAATTGTTAAGAAATTAGGGCGAAGAAAAATAGAAATCGACACAAATCCAGAAGAGCACACGGATATTTAACGAGGTTCGATAGAGATGTCTAATATCATCGGGAGCAGAGCGGCGACTTCATTTCAATATTCAGAAAGGAATACAAAATACAAGATTCAACTCACCTAGCGTTACATACAGGACATATATATAACCATATAGTACAATATGTAATTACTTAAATTACTCATGTACCAAACCGCGGGGTGTTGCCCCTGCACCCCCAACCCATATAATGAAACTCCTCCGATTGGACAGATCATTCTGCTCCACTCCGCTTGTGGGCTCCGCTCCAGCATCTGTCTCATTTATGGTATTTGAGTTATACCTAACAAATCTCTATCTCGACGAATATTCAACTCCTTAGGAGAAATACATATGCTCAACAAATCTCCACATTGGCTAATATCCAACCCCTTGGGAGAAATACATATACTCAACAAATCTCTACCTTAGCGAATATCCAACTCCATTATGAGAAACACATATGCCCAACAAATCTCCACCTTGGCTAATATTCAACCTCTTATGAGAAATACATATGCCTAACAAATCTCTACCTTACGAATATACAGCCCGTTAGAAGAAATACATCATGAAGTTTCTTATGCACCAATGTAGGTTGAGCCACCACACTTCCGCTGCGCCCTCGTTGTTCCCTAACCCACTAAATTCCAAGAGAAACACCTCTTCAATTCCCAGAGGCATCTCTTCATTCCAAGAGACTCCAAATTCTGGTATTATGAGCTAAACCTAACAAATCTTCAACTTGGCGAATATTCAGCCCCTCATGAGAAATATGTCATGGAGTTTCTTATGCACCAATGTGGGCTGGGCCACCATTTTAAATATTTCTGTGGGCTGAGAAATATGTCATATAATTCCTTAATTAAGATTCTCTTAATTAAATTTCTCAGAAAAAAGGATTTTTCCTTAATTAAATATTCCTTAATTAAACTTTCCCAGAAACCATTTTCTTTAAATTTCCAAGAAAAGCTCCATTTTCGCTTTATAGAAAAGCTTCTTTTTATTTTCTTTCAGAAAACTTTGTTTTCCTTCTCAGAAAGGCTCCGCCTCTGCTTTCTTTCCATAAAAGTCGTGCCTTCCAGAAAAACACTGTTTCCGCTTTCCTTCCAGAAAAGCTCCGCCTCCGCTTTCCAGATTTCTCCGCACTTACCTTTTTAGTAGGAATTTCCTTTCTTGATTCGCGATTCACCGTCGGGAATGTGCAGCTCCGGAGCGCCTGTTGCGAACGAAGGCCCCTCGCTAGTCGTGAATCCCTCCCTGGCCCGCCACGATTTGCAACCTGCTACAATCTATCACGAACTGGAAGAAGCCTCGCTGATTCACAGATCTTCACGCACGCAAACCTCCTTCGCAAAGCTGCTTCGCCTGTACACAATCTGTTTCGCCCATTCAAGCCTGCGGACGATTTTCTTCGCTTGATTGCTGCCTGGTTGGGAACCGCCAAGAATCGTCGAGAACCGCCGAAGTCTCTGTCAAGTCCCCGTCCTTCCTGCGCCGACTTCTCCGAAGCTTCGCCGAACTCTTTGAATTCGCAGAAGCCCAAATCCTTGAAACCTAGTCGCCAAATTTTCTTCAATTCTTCTTTCTTCCTATGCGGACGAAATTTTTCTTCTCTGCCCTAGAACCTCGCTCTTATACCACTTGTTGAGAAATCAGGGCAAAGAAAAATAGGAATCAACACAAATCCAAAACAACAAACAATTCAACAAATATAATTACATCCTCGGGAGCAGAGAAGCGACTTCCTTTCACACTCGGGAGCAGAGCAGCGACTTCCTTTCAATATTCAAAAAAAAATACAAAATACAAAATACAAAATACAATATTCAGCTCACCTAAGATTACAGACATGACATATTATAGCCCTATAGTGCAATATGTAATTATTTAAATTATATCTGTACCAAACTGCGGGATGTTGCCCTCGCGCCCCCAACCCACATAATGAAACTCCCCCGATTGTACAGATCCTTCCGTTCCACTCCGCTTGTGGGCTCATATATGAGGCATACCTAACAATAATTGTTAAGGACGAGGCTGCTCCAATTTAGCTCGAGCTGAACACAAGTCAATTTGAATAAATTTGAGCCGAACATAAACATGTTATTCTCGAGCTATTTCGATTACGAGTTGAACACGAATAAGCTCTCGGCTCACTCATATTCACCTTATTTACAGGCCGTTATTAGCATATCTAAATGCATGCATGAAAGATATGTTATATTAAGAAGAAAAAAAAAGGTTGATAACATTAATATTTTTATGTGATGTCAAACATTTGAGTGTTATTAAATGTTAAGAGTTTTGGTATTGGACATGAAAATATATAAGAATTGTATGTTAATTCCCTTAATTTCTTACTAAATCGATATCTGATTTAGAAATAAAAATTATTAAATTCATGTATTTTAGCATTGCAGAAATAACTTATTAAGGATGTAATAACAAAAATAAACCTTTTTTAAAATTATTGAGGTGATTTAAACGTTAACATTAAAATAATATATATATATACATATATATTTCAATAAGAATAAGAAATAACTTAATAAGAAAAATTTTAATTTACTAACGTGTGTATATAATACGAGCCGAACACATCTTAGTATATATATATAAACTTGATGAGTAGTATTTCGAGTCAAAACGAGCCGAACACATCTTAGTTCGTGTTCGGCTCGTTAACTTATCAAACGAAATTAACGAACCGAACACGAGCTTCTTAACAAGCCGAACACGGAGGACTGTTCGTGAACAATGAGCCGTTTTGACAGCCCTAATGAAAATTCTGATTCTACTACTCATCCTCGTCATCCACATCATCCTACACTCATATATTGTATATCTGTCATAATGTCCCGATAACAACGTAGATAGCACTATGCTGCCATATAAATGACCTGATGTGACACCCAATCTGTCGTCCGCACAACGGATTATCAAAATACATAATATTACCTACATCATCCGGATCCAATTATCCCAGCACAATATTTTTACTTTGTTACCTTTTTCTTGTTCTAAAAGTAGCGTCTCGCGGGAGCAAAAAAAATAAAATAAAATTGATTTTTTGTTTGTATTAGAACTTAAGATGATTTTACCGGGAGTCTCGTGACACATTTTATGATCAAGTCAAAGTCTCCTATTTATAGCCAACAACCAGTCCCCAGCAACTGGCCCGAAGAGAGAGACATAAAGAGACAGGAACAGCGAAGAGTCTAGCAAAGATGACCAGCTACAACTCAGAGAACACCAATGGCTTCCACGCCGGAGCGAACGGGGACGCCGGAGATAAAACGGCCGGAAAAGTTATCACATGCAAAGGTAATTCATACCTAGCATCTTAATCACTTTTTTAAAACCTTGATTAATGAGTGATTAATTGATTGATTTCTGTGGTTAATTAGCGGCGGTGGTTTGGGGACCGGGAGAAGCCTTCAAAATGGAGGAAATAGAGGTGGAGCCTCCTCAGCGCATGGAAGTCCGGATTCGAATTCTCTTCACCGGGATTTGCCACACCGACCTCAGCGCTTGGAAGGAGCTCTTGGAAGGGCGAGTTAGGGTTGTCAAAATGGCTCGTTGTTCGCGAACAACAAGTGTTCGGCTCGTTTGCTAAGCTAACAAGCCGAACACGAACAAATATTTGTTCATTCGTTTTGGCTCGAAATACTACTAATCAGCTATATATTTTTAAAAAATTTAATTAACTACAAAGATTTATGATCAATTGAAAATATTAATTAAAAAAATAGAAAAAAAATTATTAAATTAGATTCAAATGATACTTTAAATCTGATCATAATTCTTAATATCTTATGGCTACGTGATTAGGGTTGTCAAAATGACTTTTTATTCGTGAACGGCTCGTGTTCTGCTCGCTAAGCAAACAAGTAGAACACGAACACACTTTTTGAGCTTGAAATATAAACCAGCAGAACATGAGTTAATTCTGGCTCGCTCGTGTTCGTCTTGTTTACAGCTCTAGGACTAGGTATTAATAATTTCTTAATTATTTATATTAATTGACATGTATATCTAACATAATATTAATGTTGTTTTGTCAGAACAAGCAGCAGCAGGTATTCCCTCGTGTGCTGGGCCACGAGGCCGCGGGGTAAATATTAATATTTTAAATTATCATCGCTCCATATTAAAGCCGGCCAGAATAAATATTTTTATTAATTTATTGATAGGGTGGTGGAGAGCGTGGGAGAGGCCGTTGAGGACTTGAGACCGGGAGACCGGGTGGTGCCGGTTTTCAACGGCGAATGCGGGGACTGCGCTGCCTGTTCGTCGGAGAAGACAAATATGTGTGCTGTTTATGCGGTCGATCCAATGAGGAGCGTGATGCGGGCTGATGGGCGGGTCAGGTTCTTCTGGGTTGGGCCTGACAAAGCCCGGCAGCCCGTTCACCACTTCTTAAACACGTCGACGTTCGCCGAATACACCGTGATCGACTCCGCCTGTGCTGTGAGAGTTCCGGCCGACGTGCCGCTCAGCCGGATGTGTCTTTTCAGCTGCGGCGTCTCTACTGGTATTTTTTTTAAATATTTTTTTCTTACTTGATTATATATATATATATATATATATATAATGCCTCCTAAAAAAATTGCGACGATGGATTAATGAATTATCGTCTTAGCGTTGCACTCAGATGAAAATGAATAAAGCTGTGATAACACCAGAAATTTTTATGTGAAAAACCCGTAAAGTGGAAAAACCATGGGGTCTAGCATAGTTGTAAAAATCTACTATAAGTTGATGATTACAGATGCCTCTTGTCTCACAGACGGGAAAGGGTTACTAATTTTTCAAGTTATAACGTCGACTGACGACGTTTAGTCAGTTCGTTTAGTCAGTTGTGGTTGACGGAGGTCGGCGGTGATCGACGGTAGTTGATAATAATCTATGACGGTCGAAGTAGGTCAGGGGTGGCTGAAGACAGTCGATGATAGTCGGCGGTGGTCGACGGAGGTCAGCGGTGATCGATGGCGATCAATGGTGGTCCGGTGGTTGACGACGGTCAGTGGTGGTCGACGGCGATCAACGATGACGAGGATAATCTTGGACACGAGCTCATTCTCAAAGCCTCAAGTTCTCTCTTAAGTCTCCTCCCTCATGTGAGGGGTGAAACTCTATTTATAGTGTTTTGAGTGCAACTAATGCATGAATATGAACCATTTTGATCAGACGGTTCGAAGGACTTCCCTTGATCAGATGACGTTTGGTGGACATTTGAGTGCCTTAAAGATGTTGGAATTGAACAATCTTGGACTCGTTGGATTCGTCTTGTCGAGACGCTCGATTCGACAATAAACTCGCTAGATTCGATATTTATTTGACTTTTCAAATGCCTACGAAAATACTCCAAGAGTAGTTTAATGATTTGATTCGGGCTCGATTTGACTTGGATTGAATTGACTTTCATATCATTAGATCCGTTTCATCGAGCCGATCAGTTTGACTTTAATTTTGCTGAAATCGGAGCTCCGGATGATTTTTAATTGAAGTTTGAATATTTCTTGTTCAAAAAATTGCATCGAGATTCGTGTTGAATGATGAAAATTTGTTGGTGGCGTATCAATATATACATAGAGCTTGTTGAATTCAACACAGTTTTGAAAACACGATCAAAGAATGAAACGATGTGCTAGGAAGTGATTAAAAGAGAGAGAGAAAGAGAGCAATGCAGACAAAAAAAAGAGTGTCTTATTCGTGATATTGACCCATATTTATAGTTATAGACCCTAACATTACAAAAGTTTATTTTAGCTCCCTCATTATTAACTTTTCAGAGGGATTTTTTCGGTACTTACAAAGTTAATTGCATATAATAAGGTCAGGACCGATTCGATCAACGAGTTGTCGATCGCTTAACAAGTCTTGATTCAATCAATATATAGTCCGAAAAAGTGTTACTCATTGATCGTCTTGAAGGCTTGTTACCGTCTTGCAGAAGTTTTTCCTGTCATCTTTTGTCGATCGTTCGAACAAAGTGCTTCCCTTGTCAATATTCATCGTTGAAGGCTACGCTCGATCGTCTGTATCTTCTAATGAAAGATCAATCTGCTTTGAGATTTGTGTTGACATATTTTTATATGTTCATATTTAGTTTCTCGATTTTGTTGCTCATCAGAAATTGTATAGTGCTCGATGATAAGAGAATTTTTTATCATGTAATATTATTATGCAATATGAACTTCCCTCGATTTTCGTGCTTGGGGCATTATAATTAGCTTTAAAGCGGTGTAGGTTTGCATCGTCTCCGTCTCTATTGGTTCATTTGTCTCGTCCTTCTCTTTTCGTGTTTTTCACAATGTATGACGATGGAGCACTGCTTTCCGATAAGGGTGTCCTCCTCAAAGCAATGAGTGATATTTGGGCGCAGGCTCGTAAGTTAGATGTAAAGCGTAAACCTGCGAGTGAGGTATTCATGATGGGGTGAGTAGAAAGAAAGTTGTGCTCAAGCTAGGAGCTAACGATCGTAAGAGTCGACCTGATTCTTCTAGTTTTCTTTGTTGGCTTCCCCCAGGAGAGGGTTGGAGGATTGGCTAGAGGTCGACCTGTCGATCATCCTTAGAGACACTTGTCAGGGGTGAGTGTTCCTGCTGCAGGAGAAAGATTGTTCGTCTTGCTGGTTATGTGGGTCATGGTTCTTCGGAAGAGTCCTGAGGAGGTGGCGGCTGAGGATGAGACATGACTTGGACCAACTAAGTGCGGTTTTTCTTCTGAAGGTTGATAACAAAGAAAACCGATGAGGACATTTTCTCTTATACCACATCTAAATGGGGGTGGATTCTTGGTATGTAGCTTAAATAGCTTTTTGTATTTCTCTTTTCAGTAATTAAAGTCCTGACTGTTGATTATGTATCGGCAGGTACTGGTGTTGATTTTGAAGATGATATGATGGTTGTGGACTAGATTGCGGTGGAGGGAGTGAATACTTAACAGGTTGTCGCGGGGGAGCAGATATGGCATAACTAAGCGCACTGGAGCAAGGTGCTGAGTGTGATGTTGAGGATCAGGGTGTTGGAAACCAGGGTACTGGCTGTCAGGTTTTTTCCAGTGCTACGAGGGAGGAGGAGGTGACTGGAGGGCGATGTTTGTCCTCTGATTTCATACTTCGATGCCTTACTGAGGTGGAAGCGTGTTTTCTTCATTTTGGTATCCTCAAGGAGATGGTGATGGAAAAATCACTGAGGTTCTTGAGAGAGTCGACAGACGGAGAGGGAAGTCGTTGCACTGTGTGAGGAAATTGTGGTTTTCCTGAGAAAGTTATGCGTCTGTGTTCGGATGTGAAAGTTTTTGTGAAAAATATGTTGATAAGTAAATTTAGAATGCAATGTGTCTAAATCACCTCAAATACTACTGAGAAACTTTTCTTTTTACATTTGAAATAAAAGGAGGATCATCATAGTGCGTTGTTCTATTAACCAAAAAAAAAAGAGGAAAACTCATTGCAATAAGAACCAATTGAACATTATTATGAACTTGGAGGAAAGCCGAACACCTTCTAAATAATAGCCATTAAGCTCAACAAATCATTATATTATTTTCGATCTCTTAGCGTCGTTCACCAGTGCCAAACCGAGAGAGCATATAAACATTTACCATAACAAAGGAGAGGACTAGAAATGCAACAAACAATAATTATCTTATATGAAAAATAAAAGATTGAGAGATGGAAGTTACTGAATGGACAAAAAGGAGAATGTGAGGTCAGAGAGATAGAGATAATGCAATGAGCAAACAACACCGTAGAACACTTGTAGCCCGTTAAAACGCCAAAATTGGAGATCGTAAGGTGGCAGAGGAGCGTAAATGGCAAGACAAACGAAATGAAACGGGAAGTGGTGGTGTTGTGCGAATGAAAAAGGATTTAGGGTTTGTAGGATTTAGCCTTGTTCTTATACCCAAAAATCTTAAATTTGTTATTCCATAACCACGACAAGGGTTATTCTCCACTGTCCATTTTCAATCCGATCGACTTGCCAATTTGATCAAATCCATTCTACATGTAACTTCAATCAGATTGAAATATCTATCGAGTCGATCAAATACCGATTCAAAATCCGATTGAAGTTACCTGTAGAATGGATTTGAATTTGATTGAAGCCTGGTCCAAATGTTTGGCTCATGGATTAGCTTGTTCAATTCAATCCATTCTCGGTTGGAGATCAAAATTTGAGTAATTTTCAAGCGATTAACAATTTATGTGCTAATTTCTCAACCGTGCGGAGAACTACCCAAAATGAAAGCTACAATTTAAGAACTTATAAATCATAGAACGGTCTGTTCTATTTGATCCGATCTCAATTCGAGCTCAAATTTAAATAGATTGTTAAGCGCTTAACGACCTTTGTGCTAATTTCTTAGCCTTACCCAAAATGAAATCTACTTTTTTGGAACTTTATTTAAAATTAAATTTATTAAACTTTTTTTTATAAATTTAGATAAATTTTTTAAAAAAAATGAGTTTTTGCTTTATATATTTTAATATTATATTATTATTACTGTGTGCTGGAAGATTCATAGCGGTATAGTGATATTTTATGTCTTAGTGTTGAGAAATTAGAGCGAAGAAAAATAAAAATCAACACAAATCTAGAAGAACACGCATAAATTTACGAGATTCAGAAAATATGTCTACATCATCGGGAGCAGAGCGGCGACTTCCTTTTCAATATTCAGAAAAGAGTACAAAATACAAAATTCAGAATCTCAGAAACCCAGAGACTCCCCTAAAGTTACAAACAGGACATATATAATCCTATAGTACAATATGTAATTACTTAAATTACTCATGTACCAAACCGCGGGGTGTTGCCCCCGCAGCCCCAACCCACATAATGAAACTCCCTCGATTAGACAAATCCTTGCACTCCTCCGCTCGTGGGCTCTGCTCCTCTCCAGCATCTATCCCATTTATGGTAAATGAGTCATGCCTAACAAATCTCCACCTTGGCGAATATCCAGCCACGTAGGAGAAATACGTATTCCTCACAAATCTCCAACTTTGCAAATATCCAATCCGTGAAGAGAAATACATATGCCTGACAAATCTCCAACTTGACAAATATCCAGCCTCTTAGGAGAAATACATATGTCTAACAAATCTCTACCTTTGCGAATATCTAACCCTTTAGGAGAAAACACAACATAGAGTTTCTTATGCACTAATGTGGGTTGGACCACATTAAGATTCTTAAGTTTCTCAGAAAAAAGACTTTTTCTTAATTAAATATTCTTTAATTAAACTTTCCTAGAAATCCTTTTTATTAAACTTCCAAGAAAAACTCCTCCTCTGCGTTAAAGAAAAACTCCTTTTTCCTTCCAAAAAAGTTTTGTTTTTTATCTCAGAAAAGCTCCGCCTTTCATAAATGTCTCGCTTCCGCTTTCTAGAAAAGGTCCTCTTTCCTTTTTCGGCTCCAACGCGATTCAGTGATTCAAGCCGCCGTGCAAACTGCTCCTCTGAGCAGCTTCCGAACCAAATCCCGTGAACGCCTCCTGCACGAATGCCTGCGTCGGCGTGGAACTCCCGCGCAAAACTCCTCCCGCGAATTCCCGCGTGCAGCGAGCTCCTTTTGTGTTTTAGAGGGAATATTCCCTCTGGTAGAGATGGAAGATTCCTTGATTCTTCTCCGGCTAACAGCCTGCAGCGAACTGCCTTGGGCTTCGCCTTCACAAACTCCTGCTTTAGCTACAGCCTCCCATGAAAAATCCTTCGCGCCTCCGTCCACCAACTTCCAAAGAACGCCTTCGGCTTCTCTTCACAAACTGGTCCTCCTGCGCGATTCGCGCCCTTCGCGAACTCCTCGCTGCATGCTCCAACAATCTGTTGCAAACCACCAAAGTTCTTCGCTGAATTGTTGAAGCCCCAAAATTCACCGAACTCCTCTGCCCTAGCCACCAAATCTCCTTTGTCAAAATCTTCTTTATTCCTACGCCCCCAAAATTTTTATTCCTAGCCCTAGAACCTCGCTCTGATACCACTTGTTGAGAAATTAGGGCGAAAAAAAATAGGAATAGACACAAATCTAGAAGAACACGCGGAGATTTACGATGTTTGACAAAGATGCCTACATTCTCGGGAGCAGAGCGGCGACTTTATTTTCAATATTCAGAAAAGCGCACAGAATACAAGATGCAACTCACCTAGGGTTACAGACAGGACATATATATAACCCACCATGTAGTACAATATGTAATTACTTAAATTACCCCTATACCAAACTGCGGGGTGTTGCCCCCGCACCCCAACCCAGATAATGAAACTCCCCTAATTATACAAATCCTTCCGCTCCACTCCGTTTTAGCATCTGTCCCATTTATGGTATATGAGCAATATCTAACAAATCTCCATTTTGGCAAATATTCAGTCTTTAGGAGATATGCATCTTAGGAGAAATATATATACCTAACAAATCTCCACATTAGTGAATATCAAACCCTCTCTTAGGAGAAATATATATACCTAACAAATCTCCATATTAGTGAATATCAAACTCTTTAGGAGAAATAAATATACCCAACAAATCTTCACCTTGGCGAATATTCAGTCTCTTATGAGAAATACATAGCCTAACAAATCTCCTCTATTGCGAATATACAGCCCCTTAGGAGAAAATACATCATGGAAATTCTTATACACCAATGTGGGTTGGGCCACAAATCTTTTTAAATAATCCCTTAACTAAGTTTCACAAAAAAATGAATTTCTCTCAATTAAATTTTCCTTAATTAAACTTTCTCAGAAATCTTTTTCCTTAAACTTCCAATAAAACCTCTGTCTCTACTTTCCAGAAAATCAACTTTTTTTCTTCCAGAAAAGCTCTGCTTCTGGTTTCCACAAAAGGTCCACTTTTCTTTTTCGGCTTTAGCGTGATTCAATGATTCACGCCACCGTGTGAATTGCTCCTCCGAGCAGCTTCCAAATTGAATCTCGCAAATGCCTCCCGCGCGAATGCCTGCGTCGGCGCGGAACTCCCGCGCAAACTCCTTCTGCGAATTTCCGCTTTTTAGAGGGAATATTCTCTTTGGTGGAGATGAAAGATTCCTTGATTCTCTTCTGGTGAACAACCTGCCGCGAACCGCCTTCGGCTTCGCCTTCGCAAACTCCTGCGTTGGTGGCAGCCTCTCGCGAACAATCCTTCGCGCCTCCGTCCGCCAACTTCCAGCGAACGCCTTCGGCTTCGCCTTCGCAAACTGGTCCTCCCGCGCGCCCTTCATGAACTCCTCGCTGCCTGCTCCAACAATCTGTTGCGAACAGCTAAAGTTCTTTGCCGAATCGTTGAAGCCTCGAAATTCACCGGATTCCTCTGCCTTAGCCGCTAAATCTCCTCTGTCAAAATCTTCTTTATTCCTGTGCTGCCGAAATTTTTCTTCCCTGCCCTTGAAACTTTTTCTGATATCACTTGTTGAGAATTTATGACGAAAAAAATAGAAATCGACATAAGTCCAGAAGAGCACACAGAGATTTACGAGATTCGGCAAAGATGCTTACATTCTCGGGAGCAGAGTGGCGACTTCCTTTATATTCAGAAAAGAGTACAGAATACAAAATTCGAATCTCAGAGACACAGAAACTCCCCTAGGGTTAAAAACATGACATATATGTTACCCTACAGTACAATATGTAATTACTTAAATTACTCATGAATCAAACCGCAGGCTGTTGCCCCACACCCTCATCCCACATAATGAAACTCCCCCGATTGTACAGATTCTTCCACTCCACTCCGCTCCGCTCCAGCATCCGTCTCATTTATGGTGTATGAGCCATGCCTAACACTTAGCATTGTGCCTAGATCCAACACACAAAAGATAATTAAAAAGTAGTATAAGACATTAATATTTTTTATATTGATCAAAAACTCTAAAAACAGAAAAAACTATTTAAATTGTAAGTATATAGATTTACTTTTCTCCAGACTTAGAAGATAAAATTATGATAATGATATTTAAAAATGTATAATATTCATCAAATTTCAATAGTTTTAATTGAATAAAAATTAATATAATTTTTTTTATGATAATATCGGTAGTTAACTACAATGAATGATTGCCATAACATAAGTTGTTAATTTCAAATAAAATAATTAGAAGGAACTTTTCCAAGGTGCTTTTGAAAGTAATCTACGCAGACCGAGGACCGATTGTTAGCGGCATGGCAGTGTACGTTTCCGAAAAAGTCTATTCTGAAATACTATATTACATTAGAGAGAACTCTTATAATTTCTTTTGGGGTCATTTACATGCATACCACCCAATTTTCATATATTTTCAAATTTAATACTTTAATTTTCATATTTACACACAATACTTAAATTTTAACATCGCACAAAACGTACAACCATCACGAATTTTTTCAAACTGAACTAGATTTTTCATGTATAAATTTATAACACTTTAAGTGATGTAAACATAAATATTAAATGTTAATTGTTAGATATGTAAATATATGTGAATTATGTGGCATGCATCTAATATTTTTTATTTTAATTGTGAAGGGCTGGGAGCTGCGTGGAATACGGCGAACATCGAGAAAGGGTCCAAAGTGGCAATCTTTGGTCTGGGTGCCGTCGGTCTTGCTGTGAGTCGACTTCGTTCTCTCTTTAAAATTTTGAAAAAACTTTGTGTATACATAAGAACTAATGACATGAAGCTCAAAGAAAACAAACGGTGGAGGGGCTAAAAAGTTTTCCTTCGAGGTAAGTGATCGACTGATAATTCAACACCAAGCATGAGAAGTCGCATCTCTAAACCCATGATAGCTCAAAGTTTTAGAGATGTTTTCCCTCTCGATAGCGACAAGATCAGTGAAGAGTGAGATGCAAATCATCCTGATTGTGAGTCTCGTCGGATATCCCGCATAGGCAGCAACAAGATCCACTCAAGACCTTGTGAAAGGGAATGTTCATCCGAGGCAACGAACCGATTATGCAAACGAAAATGCGGGCCATATAAGACTTGAGTCAAACAACAAACTAGCCACGACTCGCCCGATGAAACAAATTAACTCGTCAGCCAACCGACCGATTAGGAAGCAGGCGAGAACCTTCGACCAAGGCTAATCGACCATCCTACTTTCCTCAATGAAGGACGAGATCAACACTCGACGACCTTTGCTACCACTTCGAGCTTCTTTATTTTGGGAAGCTGCATACCCTGTTTGATGAGATTTTTGAAGATCTTCATAAGACATTCCTTTTTAAAAGAGTATACCTTAGAATTCTTTTGCTCAGAAGGTGGGGTCTTCCACTACTGAGAAGGTGAGCGAGCTTGTTCGGCGGACAAGACATGCTTTTTCAGCTTACTATTAACTGTCGTCAAAGCTAAACTCTCTTTTGTTTTTCTCAATGGACCTGTTGTGGAAAACTTTTTGTCTTTGGCTTTATCATCACCTTTAAGGACTAAATCCCATATGATATCTTGAAGATTGATTACCTTCTCTATCAACTCTGCAAAAGTTTTGATAGAAGTGATTTTTAACAAGGCAAAAATTTGGCATTTTATTTTGCCCATGAGGAGTGCAACGACATGCCATTTCTAAGGGAGAGGCTCACACATCATACTCAGATTTCACCAACGGATGACAAAGTCTCATAAGTGTTCGTTGGGCTTTTGTTGGGCCAACATTAGGTTACTCATGGTAATTCGGGGTTGTTTCGTACTTAGATGTCTTTCCTGTTTTATGGTAATTTGGGCCACGTGACAAGAACTGGTAGGCCCTCCCTATGCTTCGACCATACGTGCTAACGGAGACCGTACTTAAACTGATTCTGATAGAACACCAGATTATAGTTCACGTCATTCGTCGGGTGCCCTGCGACGTACATTCTGTGGAGGGGGATTCAGGCACCCGACACATAACGTTTCTGATGACTCTTCATGTCATGATCCATCAATGAAGAGGAATTGGATATCCTCATGGTACCGTAGAGAAGCGGAGAATACTTTGGAGCCATCACAGCCGAACGAAAAGAACATAAGAAAAATGAAGAGAAGGAATTAGAAAACTCGAAGAGTAAAATGCAAAAACTGGAAAAAGTGTAGGGCGAGCGCGTAGATCGAAGAGTAACATAAATGATAAATTTCACGCCAATTGTCATTTCAAATTCCCTCAAAATATCTTTTTTTTATTACAAATGATATTACTACAGGTTTAGGACAAAGTATTTGATAAATGGGTCCTCTACGATTTCGGACGGGGCATGCCCCTTATAAAGAAATCTCTGGAAGAACATCTCTCCACCAAGCTTAGTTTTTTCCATTCAGTCGGCCTCATTGTGTAATTAACTTAGAACTACTGAACAACGGATGGATCGCATCTCAACTCAGACATTGTTTAGGGAAACAAGCAGTAACGCGACCTCTCCCTCCAGTTGAACAATGATAGCTGATTGTTGTTGAAAGACGTCCTCCAGAAGTTCGCAACGAGCCATCCATCCAAACACATGAGTCGGCATGACTTTTCGTTGTTTGGTGCAGAAGCTCTTAAATCTCTTGCACCCGACATGCCACCGACTCGAGAGGGAGTTTTCGACACACAGGTTGATTCTACTGAGAGCTTCCGCCAGCATCAGTCGACGAAAAAGGGGAGTGATCACATCAAGGGACTCGATGACATTGGCAGGAACTTAGTCAACTACATCTCTAGGGTGCCCACCACCATTGACATCCTCTGTCCCGATCGACATTCTGCGTTTAAAAGGAATATTAAGTTACTATGCCAGCCAAAGTCAAAAGAAACTCCTTACATACCCACGAGCCTCTCAAGCTCCAACCAATTCAAGGGACGACCTTCCTCTCTCGTTAGGGTGCCTCATCCCTTTTCCCCCAGGGGCATCAACAAAGGGTCAACAACCACTCCTGCCCTCGGGCTACGAAAATCGTTGGCAGCCCTTTCCCCAGACGGGGTCGATGACTCAACCATAGCCCTGACCTCACTCGAACTAGAAACCACTGGTTTCCGGAGCCTCTTTGGCGACCATCTTTCTGGCCCCTCAGAAGAAGCAACCTGGTTGACCGACTAAGGGTCGACTAGCCCTGACCTCACTCGAACTAGAAACCACTGGTTTTCGGAGCCTCTTTGGCGACCATCTTTCTGGCCCCTCGAAAGAAGCAACCTGGTTGACCGACTAAGGGTCGACTGTCTCTCACCTTATTTCTTCACCATTTTCTTTTTTATGATAAATGTCGGAGCAGATGGATACCACTGTAAGGCCAGTAGGCTCGGGTCAACTATCTTATTGCTCGTGCCACCCGACATGAAGCCTACTCAGCAACCCAGAAAATGTTGGCAAAAGATGAACAACCCAACTCTTGACTTTCTTTATAATACATCATGAGCACGAAAATAAAGGGAGAACTAATCATTAAATTTTTTTAATTTCTGTGACATGATTTAAATAATAATTTCTCTGTCATTATCGCTGCTATCGCCGCCAAGGAGCAGAAAAACTCGAGCAACTAATATGTATACATCAGAACTACTGACACGAATCTCAAGAAAAATGAATGGCCAGGGGGCTAAAATGTTTCCCTCCGATGTAAGCGATCAACCGATAATTCAACGCCAAGCGTAAGATAATTCAACGCCAAGCGTGAGAAACCGTGTCTCTAAACTAGGGATAGCTCAATGCTCTAGAAATTTGTTCCCACTCGATAGCGACAAGATCGACCAAAAGTGAACACAAATCATCATAACAACGAGACTCGTCGGATATCCCGCATAGGTAACGACAAGATTTGCCCAAGTCCTTACAAAAGGGAATGTTTGGTCGAGGCGATTAACCGACCAGACAGTCGAAGACGCAGACATTATAAGACTTGAGCCAATTGACAAACAAGTCACGACTTACCTGATAAAACAAATCGACCCATCAGCCGACTGACCAACTAGGGCACATGCGAGTACCCTTGACCACAACTAATCGACCGACCTACTTTTCGCCATGACAGGCGAGATTAACACTCAACCGGATGTCTCAGTCGATCAATAGAAGACTAGATCGCCACTCAGCAAGTTGTCTCAACCTGCTGAAGTCATGCAAAGTCAATCGGTCAATTAATGCCATGTTAGAATTCAAACTGTAATACATATATAATATAAAATTTATATAATTAATCAAAGCATTAATTACACTAAGAATGATTTCCATAAATATTCGCCTCTTTCTTTAATTATACAAAATACATTCCTATAAATAAGAGACAAAAGAACGACCAAAAGAAGCTAGACCATTTGGACTCTCCCCCATGTTTCCTCGATAGTGAAGTCTTGACCAACTTTACTTTATTCTCCCTCTTCACTCAACTCTAACTTTCAAAACTTATTAAAAAAAAAGACAATCGAAGAAACGACACTTTGTATTACAATAGTTGTGATGCAATCTTATAAATTACAAAAGAGAGCGAGAGAGAAGTATTAAAAGTCCTATTTTTTTTATGAGTTCATAAATTTAATTGGAATAAAATAATTAAGTGCAATATATATTTTGCAAAGCAAATATTTTCTTAGTTCTTTAATTTGTTGCAGATAAGAATTCTTTCGGTGACCTCAGACATTAATACGAATGTTTAGGTGCTAATATGCAAATACAATAAAGTTTTGTGATATTTATGTAAATGCCCCCTGAATTTTTTGTACTCAAATGTTTTTGCGCAATGATGACGATATTACGCAGGCTGCTGAAGGCGCACGCTTGAGAGGGGCGGCTCGCATCATTGGGGTTGACATCAATCCTAATAAATTTCTAAAAGGTATTTTATTTTATTTAATGTCATTTATTTTATTAATTGGGTGTTTTGTGTTAATTCTCATAAAATCACTTGAAGTGGGAGACCATTCATATATTTTGTAAATTTAATCCTTCTCATTATTGATTAGACAGTTTAATAATTTCACTTCCTATCAATAGATTATATTTATAGCTATTACATCTAAAAATATATATATATTATTATTATAATCTTTTAGAAGTGTAGTAGGTGTCGTCATGGAAAAATAAGATGATATATTTGAAAAAAAATAAAATTTAGATGTTAGGCATGTAAATACATAAGATTTCATAAGTGCATTAATTTACTTCTCACAAGCTACTTATTGCTTGATTTCATTTGTTCTTATAGGACGAGAAATGGGCATCACAGATTTCATAAACCCCAAGGAGTACACAAAACCATCGCACGAGGTAGCGTAATAGAGAACGTAAATTTACATGCAACTCAATATATAAAATTTACGTCCAGACAATTATTCGCTCGGAGGTCATGATCGTCACTCCACATGTGAACTTGGGCGACGCGGCCTCCCTTGAGGTTGTCTGGACGTACGAACATAACACGTAATGTAATATTTTCTCTCAGTTAAGATATTCAGTTCTAATTGTATAAAAATATTTGTAGAGTTATTGTGAGAGAGTATATTATATAAAAATGTATTAAAAAAATTATTTTGAAAAGGTCGGTAAATAAGTTTATTAGAGCAATCACATTCCAGTGAATATTATTGTAAAAATGAAAATTTTAGTCAAATAAAATTTTGCTATTTTTCCATAGAAGAAAATTGTGAAAGCTTGATCCAAAGAGATCCTTCTTCGACATTGCTGATGAATGTATGAATGAATGCAGGTGATAAGAGAATTGACCGACGGTGGCGTTGACTACAGCTTCGAGTGCTCTGGGAATCTTGAAGTTCTTCGTGAGGCATATCTATCAACTCATCTGGTACTTTCAATTCAAGCAAATATTAAATGATCAATCAAATTTATATTTAAATCTTGAATTATATATTTATAATTGATATTTCATCAACAATTTTTTATCATTCGACATGAATCTTGAGACATTAAATGAATCTCGAGGAATTTTTTCAGGGAGAAACCTTTGTGAGGCATATGTAGAACTTTAATTTCAGCAAAGCACAACTTGGTCTAATCCAAGTCAAATCAAACTCAAATCAGACCGTTAAATAACATTTGGAAATTTTGGGGGGCTACTTCGAATATCAAATGAATTTAAAATTTGATGAGCTTATAGTCAAATAGAGCGTCTCGATGAAACGAATCCAACAAGTTTAAGATCGCACGGCTTCATCATCTTTAAGACACTCAAACGTCTTTAGAACGTCGTTTGATCAAGAAGATATATGTGGGTCATCCAATGGTATATTTATTCTTTCCTTATTTGTTAGGTGACCTCTCTTAAACTCTATAAATAGAATATTACCCTCTTTATGAAAGTGGGAGCTCAACCTTGAATCGGAGGAAAACATAACTTAGACGAGAAGGGACTGGGGTCCAATTTCGTTCTGCATTGAAGTTTCCGCGAACACCATCTGCTCCTGCAACCGCCGACCAACATGAGCCACCGCTTCTTGACCACTGTTGACCACCATATACCACCGTCAGATTGTTGCAACAACGCCCCTTGTGAATCACATGTGATGTGGAATCCCAACGTATGTTGCAGAGTAACAAAACACCCAACGGTACAGTGCAACAATGCACCCTGAAGATGATGTAACGACACATTCTGATGATGGTGTAACATTGCACCCCTAAGTGGTGTAACAATGCATACCGAATACGGTGCAACAATGAACCAAAACAACAACTTCTTACAACCACCATACTCAAATTACGACAACTTTCTCGAAACTCATGAAACTCTCTTCCATAGCTCACACATCTCTCAAATCCAGCCTATATGGCCTACATACGTTATCACAGTTTATACAGCTCTCAACTCTAGCCTTTGTTACTTACAAACATTATCCCAGCTCATGCGGCTCCTAACTCTAACATTTGTTGCCCGCAGACGTTACTTCAACTCTCCGCCGCAATCTATGTGACCAACTATGACCTAAATGACTCACAGTTGTTGTAGCTCTCATCTCTGATCTTTGCGGCTTACAAACTTTATCACGACTCATATGACTCCCAACTTCGATCTCTGTGGCCTACGGACATTATCTCAACTCAAGCTAGCAACTTAAAACTCTAGCCTTTACATTTTAGGATGTTATCACATCTCCGACAACTCTCTATTATGGCCTCTGGGGCTAACCAACTCTTTTAAAGCAACTATCTTTAGCCTACATGGGCAACTTCTACCATGACTTCCAACTACGACCTCTACGACCAATTGACACTATAGCCACAGTCTACAACATTCACATCGAACTACTCTTAGTAACCAACTACGACTCTTACAACCTATTATCACCAAGAGTTCGTTTATCATAACCAGATTATCACTATTATCAATAAATTATTATTGTACATTTATGAAGGTCAACTTTGTGACTCTACCTTCTCTAATTCACAAGAAGAGTAAACTTATGTACCTACAATTACAAAGTGATTTATTTTAATTGAGCTAGGTTGTACGATTTTTTCTCTTTTCAAGAGTATTTCATGTAAAAATTTATGGTGTCTCAACTTGTCATTTTAATCACCTAAGATTTATTATTCTACTGCCATAAATTTTCTGACACACATCAATAATTAATATATCTAATCAATTTAATCATGTCGTCTCTATATTCATGTAATCTTCTACCTAAGATTTGATCATTATTGTTGTAATTTTGTGTATGACCATCAATATTTCAATTGTCAACAATAGGGTTGGGGGTTGACTGTGGTTCTGAGCATTGACCCATGCCCAAGAATGCTTCCAATATTCTCCATGGAGCTCTATGAGAGGAAGATAGCCGCTGCCGCGTTTGGCGGCTTCAAACCCAAGTCTCACCTGCCGGCTCTTATCAGCAACTACATCACTGGGGTCAGTATAAGATTGTTTTTTATTATGTGATCACCAAATCTTATTTTCTTTTAGTGTTGATGGAAGATTTACATGCATATATACCACTCAACTCTTAAGTATTTATACATCTATCCTCTAAACTTCAATTTTTGCATGAACAGACGTGTTTCACTTTTCCTTAATTAAAATAGTGATATTTTTTATGTGATGATATACGTGTAAAAAATAAATTTTAAGTATTAAATATGTAAATACATGAGAAATCCGAATTCTTATGTAAATGTCAAAATTTTGATATGTAAATAAGTAAATGTCAATCCGAATTCTTATGTAAATGTCAAAATTTTGACATGTAAATAAGTAAATGTCCAACTTTAGCTTTAGATATTTGAATACATGTAAAAAAAATCACACCATTCTTATGTATTTACATATCTAACACCTACAGATTGACAATTAAATTTATAACACTTTGATATCCTAAACCTATGCATGAAAAGATATGTTTTACTTAAAAAGCTAATAATATTGATATTTTTTGTGTGTTGTTATAAATTTGAGTGGCGTGCATGTAAATATCAAAGTTTAGGTTAGATATGTAAATGTATAAAAACTGTGTGGTAAATATGTAAATGTACCTTTTGTTTGTAACAATTATTTTGCAGGAGACTAAGATAAATTTGGATGGGTTCATATCTCATGAGATGCCCTTCTCTGAAATAAACCAAGCTTTTCAGCTGCTTTCGGAGGGCCAAGCCTTGAGATGTCTTCTGAAGCTTTGAGTTAATACACGTGAGGTTTGAGTTGAGGTATTTTTATGTAATAATATATATTTGCACAGAATGTCTCTTGGGGTGTTTGATTAATATTTGATGAATGTTAATATTAAATAAAATACAGATCAAAATGTTAATTCCTGCAAAATTTTAATTTTTCCGGTTATTTTTTTATTTTAATTTGCCGAGTATGTGCTATGAAATGATAGTTCGGCTTTCAATCTTTGCGGCACCCCAAACATTGATAATTACATATATACCGCACAAATGTTATTTATTTACATATCTAACACCTACATATTGATATTTATATATATGCCAATCAAATCATTAACATCAAATCAAAAATATCGCCAATTTTACCAATGTGTTGGTATATGTTTATGATAGCAAGGTGTTGAAAGTGCTGATTTTCAAAATTTAGGGGTTAGATATATAAATATATAAATATTGTGTAACATGTATGTAAATACATCAAATAAATAAATAAATAAAGGACAAAATAAGTAATGAACTCCAATTCCAACCCTTGCAAAAGCTTACTCATATATGGAACACATTAATTGGACATGGAGTGAGCCATAAACTTGAAGGAGAAATTATTACGTGCTGTTGATCGTACGTATGGAAAGTAGTTAGATGGGCCGATGGACTGTCATTCGGATGTACGATCAGCCACACGTCACTGTTTTTCCGCTTGAAGGCGACTCTTTCAACCACATTTAAGGCAAGTGTTTTTTTTGGCTTTTGAGTTGTTATACGTACCTAAAAGGCTATTAGAGGAAGGTGAGTACTGTTAGCCTAATTAAATTAGCTAGTAATTGTTACATTATTGCATGTTTTCAATTGATTGTTAAATTTGTGTAGAAAATAGTGGTTTTCAAGTCACCCATCCACCATGCAATATATATCTCTTATTGGAAGATTCACATGCACACTCCTTGATTCTTATCTATTTACCTATCTATCTTATATTAATGGTTTTCTTATTGTTCTGAAATTCCTCGTTGCATCTGGAATTTTTCACATCTTGGCAAGGCAAGATTGTATGGTAGACTCTTCTTCCTCTCATTCCATTACAGAACAAATTAAAACTTCTTTTGTCATGCATGTGACTCTTGTCTTTTTAGTTGGATCGATTGTTTCACCGTACATAAATGTTGTTGTTGTAAGTGGTGCAAATATATATATATATAACTAATGCTACGTATGTAAATTTTCCTTATTATTATTATTGTTGTTGTTGTATTAAATGATATAAACTAATTGGAATCTTGAAATTAAACAACAAATTTGAGTAACCTTTTTAATTGACTAGCCTTGCTAACTCTTGTTTTATGTGGGATTTTCTAGTCATTGTTTTAAAAATTTACTAGGCAAACACATGTGGGGTTGGACTTATGTGATGTTTATATATGCATGTTAAAAAATAACTCACATGGGATATGCAATAATAGTTACTTTAGATATAATAGATTAGGTTAAGTGATCAAAATTAGGGTTTTTGTTGAGATTGTCTTAGTGCTTCTGTAGTATTGGCTACCGTTTCTCTTTCAGTGTCCTTAATAACTTTGTCATAAAGCATTTCATAATCGATTAAGCATCCATGTCATTTTGGCTATTATAGTGATTAATCTAGCTATGCATTTTATTCTTCACACACGAAATGTAATTAGTTTCTTCGCGTTGTTGTGTTTATAGCATGAGTACTCTTTACTTAGTGTATTTCATTATTGGTTAAAATTGAAGAAGCAACATTTGCGAAATAAGGCTTGAAAAATTAGGAGTAAAAAATAAACACTTTAATGTTCTGTGTTAAACTTATTGTATAAAACAAAGATTAAGTGTAATTTAAGAAATCTCTTAGATACTTGATGCAATTTATACGAGTCATGAATCAGAACTATTAGAGATAAAATTGTGCTACGTCGGAAAATTTTTTTCTTCAAAAATCTATCTCAAATATTCCCACTCAATAAATTCTTTAAAATATTTACCTCTAGAGTTATTCTTTGGATCACCTAAAAAATTTGTATTAAAATATTTTCACTTCATCTCATGACTTTCTTAAGTCATAAATCCTACAAAAGTTTTTAATGGCTCAAAATGAAGCACAAATTATTGAATATCCCACTAAATTAGTGTCATCACATTACAAAATAATTGTTTACATTAATTTATTATGAAGAATTATTGCTAGAGCATGTCAAGAAGCCCCATACCACATATTAACTGCAACACAATTTCTTAATATGTTATCACTTCATGCAACATGTTTAAAGCTCTAAACTTAACACTCATTTTATACCTTCATGCACATAATATCCTGTTGAGGAAATTAAGGGCGAAGAAAACAGTAATCGACATAAATCCAGAAGAACACAGAGATTTAACGAGGTTAGACAAAGATGCCTACGTCCTCGGGAGCAGAACGGCGAGTTCCTTTCAATAATCAGAAAAGAGGTTACAGAATTCAGGGATTCAACTCTCTCAAAGACCTAGGATTACAAACAGGTCTATTTATAATCCTAGAGTAAGTCCTGCAATACAATATGTAATTCTCAAATTACCCATGTACCGTATAGCCCCAACCCATATAACGTAACTTCCCAATTTGGACAGATTCTTTCGCTCCGCTCCGCTCCGCTTCTTTCCAGCGTCTGTCCCTATATCGTATATGAGTATACCATAACAAGTCTCCACCTTGGCGAATATCCAGCCCCTTAGGAGAAAAGATGCCTGGGAGTTACACCTGCACCAATGTGGGTTAGGCCATCATGCTTCTGTTGCGCCCTCGCTGATCTCAACCCACTGAATTCCAAGAGACACATCTCTTCAATTC